CAAAGACCATAAAAAATGTATGTTGTAGGAAATATAACTTTCAGCAAAAGCCACTTTTTCTGATGCTGCCAACCTGTGAATCAGCTGTTCTTGGAGGCACAGTTATTTAGACACGACACCCTTCCTTCAGACGATGTGATCTTAAGGAATTTAGTAATTATGTGATTTATTAACATAAGACGGTATTTACTGACATGACCGGACAAACTGAAAAGGCCTTCTCACCTACTCCTGGAGTCCTCCCAGATTCCAGACACCCAGTGTAAGAAAACAGGTGTTGAAAGCTCTGCTGTCACTTCAAAGAGAATAATCACAACAATAAATGCAAAGGATAATGTACTAGAAACTGTGGAAATCTTAACCTCAGGTATGAAAATGTTCAAATAAAAATACTACTGCATGCTAATCACACAGCAACAAAAAGAAGCACTGCAGAAATGGTTATGAAGCTTTATGAGAGCAAAAACAAATGAAGAGGGAAAACACAACAACCGTTAAGAAATAAGGACAAAGAAGGCATTGCGGGAAAGAAGCACAGAAAAAAAATATTATCCCTGAAAGAAAATCTGTTGACTAAAAAAAATCTGTTCTAAATACTTAATTTAAAAATTTCTATTCTAACACACTGTCCATTTGGGAGGCCTACACAAACATTTCCTTAAAAAATTAGCATGACTTCAACTATATTTTTAAAAAGCCTTGACACTTGGAAAAGACTATGATAATAATTAGAGTAACTTGTCTCACTATTTACTTAGAAATATTCTATTTAAAAGTTGACCAACAATAGGAACTTCGCAATTGCACAACAGAGAAAGTAAATGAACAACACTCAGTGGCCAATGGCATGTTTCCACATCTACTAGAACATTCTGTGACTTACACTATCTACCCTGAACCATTCACCACGTCTCCATTCACGCAGTGGTTCAAATAGAGTTCCTGTGTTCATTCCACAATAAACCTCAGTAATTCACACATCACAGTAGCTGTAACCGTTTGTTAACAGAAAAAGAATATGTCTTCATACGTAAGATGGATTTCTTGTAGGTACAAATAGCTAGGTCTTGATTCCATCAGACAGCCTCTTTCTTTTAATTTGCATATCTACACCACTGATGTTTAATTATTGATATATGTGGATTAAGAGCTACTTACTATATTTGTTACTGTTTTCCATTCTTTCTCCATGTCTTCCATTCTTTTTCTTGTTTCAGCTGAGCACTTTATATGATTTTGCTTTTTCTCTTTACAGGGGGGCACAGGGTCTAAAGTCCAATCATTAGGTGAGTCTTATAATGAGTCTCTGGGCTGTGATCTACACATGTGACTCTCAGTCCCTGACCCTGCTTAGCTGGGACAGGATGGCTATGGGGAGCTAGATTTGGGTGTTTCCTTTCCCTCAGATTAATTAGGTTCTGGTGAAACCCAGTGGGTTAGGCTCTGGTTAGGTAGTTTCTCCTGAGAGAAAGCCTTGTTAAGAACAGAGTGTTCTGGCTGGGCATGGTGGTGGACACCTGTAATCCCAGCTACTCGGGAGGCTGAGGCAGGAGAATCGCTTGAACCTGGGAGGCGGAGGTTTCAGTGAGCCGAGATTGCGCCACTGCACCCCAGCCTGGGTGACACAGCAAGACTCCGTCTCAAAAAAAAAAAAAAAGAAAAAAGAAAAAAAAAGAGTGTTCTGTCACATTTTAAAATAATTCTCTTTTCCTTTCCCTTGCCACAGGTACAAGGGATTTTTCTCCAATATGTACCATGAGAATCTGGTAGAGATCTAGCAGGTAAAATCACAAATGCATGTGGACCCCCACATCACCAGGCCCTCTGGAGTCTTTAACTCTCAGGTTTGTCCACGTTGACCCTCCAACAATCTATCAATGACAGTTTAGGTTTCCTTGCACCCACACTGGTTCCTGCAGAGGTTTCTACTCGTGTGCTTCTGCTCCACCACATACAACGCATTCAACACGCTAGAACCCTTGCAGGAAACCATGAACATCGTCCCTATTTGCTAGCTGTGGACACATAAATCCAAGTCACACCCGTGCACCTGCCAGAAGCAAAGGATGCCCGTGATCAAGGGTTTGACCCCAAGTTGAATGCTAGTTTCTGACCCCGAAGCCTTCAGGAACAAGCACCCTTGTCTCCTCTGCCTTCGTTCATCTCAGGTCTAACATGTCTGTCTCTTCTTTATTATAATAAAAGTAGAAACAGATTCAAGGAAATTAAGTCACTGCTAAGTCACACAGCTTGAATCCAATCTTTTGATTACAGGGTGTACCCTGCATTCTTCACGGCATTTCATACCACAAGGATCGGAAAACACAAGCCTCTGAGCAGGTCAAATTCCAGTGGCAGAAACAAGATGCATCTCCAGAAAACAGTAAAGATGCCATACCAGGGATAAAGACGATAAGCACTGCAAGAGGTCAGAGGGAGGCCAGATGCCCAGAACTCCAAAAAGCTGATCAGAACCTTCACAGACCGGTAGGAAGTGCATACCCAGAAAAGACAGGACATGCTCAGGCAGTCCTACTCACTCCAAGTTCAGCTCATCCTAACAAAGACGACGATATGGTTTGGCTGTGTCCCCACCCAAATCTCATCTTGAATTGTAGCTCCCATAATTCCCACGGGTCATGTAGGTATCTGGTGGAAAGTCACTGAATGTCTTCCCTGTGCTATTCTCATGATAATGAATAAATCTTCCAAGATGTGATGGTTTATAAAGGGGAGTTCCCCTGCACACGCTCTCTTGCCTGCTGCCATGCACGACGTGACTTTGCTCCTCCTTTGCCATCCACCATGATCGTGAGGCCTCTCCAGCCATGTGGAACTCTGAGTCAATTAAACCTCTTTCCTTTGTAAGTTACCCAGTCTTGGGTATCTCTTTATTAGCAGCATGAGAACAGACTAATATAGACAACTTGCCAAATTAGATGGGCAACTCACATTCTTCTCATTCCTTCCCCGCTGGAGGAACAAGCACCTCAACTGAGACGTGCTCCAGTCACCACCTACATCCCCAAGTCAGCACCCTGACCTGGTTTCCACATCTCCATCACTAGCACTGAACTCTTGTTGGGGTCATAAAGCTTACTGCTTTTTGTCTTACTTCTTACCTATGTTTCAGAGTTCAGAAAGAACATTCTCACTAAGATGAAAACTGTATGTATAGACACTTTGATCTTGCTACCTGATTCACATTTTACAACAAAATGCACATGCCTTAGAATTCTAGTGCATAAGGGCTTCTAAGACCATCTTGCGGTTGTTCTTGTTAGAGGTTAAAACTTTGAATATTCAATTGCAACTCTTTACTTCATTTTAGAGTTTTAGCACTGCACACATAGCAAATAAACATTTATGAATTTTACACTTCTCTGCACATACAACAAATAAACATTTATTAATTTTATACTTCTTTGCCATAAACAGGGTATGCATCCCTGGATGGCAGAGAGCCCTTCAGTAACCTCTGCCCTGGGTCAACAGACATTCGTTCCCATTTTACAGATGGACAGAGGACAGAGAGGAAAGATCACCTGCCTCAGGTGACACTCCAGGTAAGAACTGGCATGGAAACTGACAACTACATCTGTTAGATTTCTTACATCAGAAATAGATGTAACATCAACCAGCCCTGGTTATCTACTCTGTAGAGTTTACACTAAGGAAAAGGAGACACTGACTTAAAGGAAAAACATTTTCTTTCTCTTTCTTTTTTTTTTTTTTTTTAAATATAAGACAGTTTAAAGGTAGGGGAGGAATACAAATTTAAAATTTCCTTGATCAGAATTTTTTTTTTCAGAGATGGAGTTTTGCTCTGTCACCCAGGCTGGAGTGCAGTCGTGTGATCTCGGCTCACTGCAGCCTCTGACTCCCAGGTTCAAGTGATTCTCCTGCCTCAGCCTCCACAGTAGCTGGGATTACAGGCGAATTCCACCACGCCCGGCTAGTTTTTATGTTTTTAGTAGAGATGGGGTTTTACCATGTTGGCCAAGCTGGTCTTAAACTCCTGAACTCAAGTGATCTACCCGCCACTGACTCCCAAAGTGCTGGGATTACAGGTGTGAGGCACCACACCCAGCCTCTTCAATCAGAAACCAACTATATATTTGCGTACTCATTTACTCAAGGACACACAGTGTTTTTATTATTATTATTATTATTATTTTTTGAGATAGAGTCTCGCTCTGTTACCCAGGCCGGAGTGCACTGGTGACATCTCAGCTCACTTTAACCTCCACTTCCTGGGTTCAAGTGATTCTCCTGACTCAGCCTCCTGAGTAGCTGGGACTACAGGCACATGCTACCACACCCAGCTAATTTTTGTATTTTTAGTAGAGACGGGGTTTCGCCATGTTGGCCAGGCTGGTCTCGAACTCCTGACCTCAGGTGATCCACCCACCTTGGCCCCCAAAAGTGCTGGGATTACAGGCATGTGCCACCACGTCCAGTCCACACAGTGTTTAAAATACTCTGTAAGGAAACAATTCCAGCCCAGGTCTAGGCAGCTTTCTAGGGTTTTGCTTGGACAAACAGTGTTATTTCAAAAGTGTCCTCTGATCTGCTGAGTTTAGGAGAAGGAGAGGAAATTCAGAGCTCCCCTGATCCAGGAGCCAGGAGATCAATGTTTCGGGGGTCGGCAGGGGGTTGCTGTGGTGGGTGTGAGTGGCACCACACCAGACAAATGGCCCCATGTTTGGGGCATCACACAAACCAGTTCTTGTCAAATTCCTCCCCAGAAAGGTTCCTGTGGCTCCAGGTCATGGGGCTGGGATGGTGCAGGTTTTAAATCATGGAAACTTCAAAGAACATACCTACTCTTCCTCTCTCCTCTCTGTCCAAGGAGCCCCCGTCTGAGTACAGACTGACCATCACCCACCTGCAACAAACTACATCTTTGAGCACAACACCAGCTGGGCTGGCAGGCCAGAAGGCAGCTTCCCCAGGTCACTACCCGCCAGGAAGCACCCCACAACCTGTGCACCACTCACTTTGTCGCCCCTCCGCTGCCCTCGTCGTTGTCAGAAGATGACGATGTAGAAGAGCCAGGGAAGTAGGCGGAATCCACGTGGTTGGGGCTGCCGCTCTGGGCCGGGTTGATGGGCGAGGACCGCTCATACAGCGGCGTGTGCTTCCCTTCGTGAGGAATGTTGCTGTAGCTGTTCTGCTCCGTCAGATTCTTCCCGCTCGTGTCCAACGTGAGAGGTGCTGGCTCAGAGAGGCTGTACGGGTATGGACCCTGGCCCGGGGCGCCCCCTGGGCTGGGCACCTGTGGGGCCTGAAGCGAAGGGCACAGGTCACGTGCACGTGGCCAGCAGGACCCGACTCAGGCCCAGGCCGATGTTTCCCGGCTCATTTTTATTTCAACAAACACTGGCATCTATTTCACACATCAATTCAAGAGCTTAGGAACTTATTTTGGCATTCATTGAAATTCAATGCACACACCGTGTCTGAGACCAGCCACCCCACCCAGCGCACGCAGGGAAGGCCTTACCACGGGCTTTGCTTGCAGAGAGGTCTGCGGAATGTTGAGCATCTGAGGAGGAACATGCGGCGGCACCATCCCAGGCATTCCAAACGGACCGGGTCTGGCTGCTTCACCAACACAGAAAGAAAAGAATCACACAGCTGTGAACAGAAGGCGTTTCCCAGGGCATCCTGGCGGCCAGCCCATGGCGCCAGGGATCTCACCCTCACCTGGCTCAGACATCGACACCACCATGGGTCCCACTTCTCAGAAATCATTACAAATTGCCATTTCACAGTAAGGACAACTTAATTTTATGATGCTCGATTTGATGGACTGGGACTGGGATTCTAACTTTCCAGGTATCTCGGTGAATTTGCCTTAGTGGTTCTGCTCTCCGACCGAACAGTTTCCTTTGGGACTCTTCTGTTTAAAGTACATTGCGGCCGGGCGCGGTGGCTCACGCCTGTAATCCCAGCACTTTGGGAGGCTGAGGCGGGCGGATCATGAGTTCAGGGGATCAGGACCATTCTCACTAACACGGTGAAATCTCGTCTCTACCAAAAATACAAAAAATTAGCTGGGCGTGGTGGCGGGCGCCTGTAGTCCCAGCTACTCGGGAGGCTGAGGCAGGAGAATGGCGGGAACCCGGGAGGCGGAGCTTGCAGTGAGCCGAGATGGCGCCACCGCACTCCAGCCTGGGCGACAGAGTGAGACTCCCTCTCGAAAGAAAAGAAAAGAAAAGAAAAGAAAAGTTGCAACTACCATTAGGTTCTCAGCTAACTAGTGAGTTTTTTAAATATAAAAGGAATTGTTTTTCATTGTTCAGCAATTAGGTGACACACTTTAACACGTATTACAAGATGACTAATTTGGGATTCTGTGTTCTCTTAAAACCTAATTCCGTAAACCTGTCCTGATGTGTGCTGGCACGTGCTAGTCATCGTTCCCACGCCACCTTGCAAAAGTGAAGAAACCTGTTTGGGAACGGATAGCCACGCGGAGGAACTGAAGCACGACAGCAGGACAAGCAGCCGGGCCAGCCTGAAGCTGGGAAGGAAAGCAGGGCCTGGAAGCCTCCACAGTCAACATTGCATCTGGCCTTGACGGGTCTAAGGACAGGAAGAGAGCTCAGGGGCCACGTCAGCCAACAGAAGTGAATGAGTGAGTAGATGGTGCCCATAAAGGGCTGTTCCAGAGACAGCACAAGACCCGCAGTAACAAGGACCGACTGGGGCCCAGATGTCAACAGCACTTCCAAACACCACCAGCAGGAAACACGAGGACATGGGACGCGGACCCCCAGGAGCTGCACTCCCTCTTGGAACACTTAGGGGCTGAGCGCCTGTGATGTGTCAGGCTGAAGACTGGGCTGGGGGATGCCAGGAGCCCTGAGGTGGTGTCAGTAAGACATATATTATTGAAGACACAGAGAAAATAGAAAACCTGTGTGAGACACAACAGATCCGCCAGGTGCTCACACGGTTGCACTATCTTTTCCTTGGGCTTGTTTTAAATGTGGGAGAAAACCAAGCCTAAAGCTTCCTGACTCCAGTTTCCCTCTTTACTCAGTAGATACGCTTCTACAACCTCTTCATCTGAACACCAGGTGGTATGCTTAGGCTTCACGTCCCCCCTCAAATCTCATCTTTAATTATAATCTTTATAGGACCCATAATCCCTGTGTGTCAGGAGACACCAGGTGGGGTAACTGGATCATGGGGGTCGTTTTCCTATGCTGTTCTTGTGATAGTGACTGAGTGCTCACAAGATCTGATGGTTTTATAAGGGGCTCCTTCCCCTTTGCTCGGCACTTCTCCTTTGTACCACCTTGTGAAGAAAGTGCCTTGCTTCTCCTTTGCTTTTGCCAGGATTGTAAGTTTCCTGAGGCCTCCCCAGCCGTGCTGAACTGTGAGTCAACTAAACCTCTTTCCTTTATAAATTATACAGTCCCAGGAAAGTTTCTTTATACTAGTATGAAAATGGACTAATACAGTAGTACTGAAGAGAGTGGGGTACAGCTATAATGACACCCCAAAATGTGGAAGCAACTTTGGAACTAGGTGACAGGCACAGGTTGGAACAGTTTGGAGGTCTCAGAAGAAGACAGGAAGATGTGGGAAGCTTTGGAACTTCCTAGAGCCTTGTTGAAAGCTTTTGACCAAAATGTTGATAGTGATATGGACAATGAAGTCCAGGATGAGGTGGTCTCAGATGGAGATGAAGAACTTTTTACAGCTCAGTTACCCACTTCCTCAAAAGAATCACTTACGCCTATATGCGGCTGTGTGGCTTTTGCTCTGAATTAAAATAAGATACAATTCCCAAAGGAATGGTGTTAAACTCGAACCTCTTAGAACTATAGTCGGCCTTACCCCAGTCCCCATTCCTAGCCCAACCTAACAAATGCTCATCCATTACTTGGCATATTATTCTGAAATGTTATGTTAAACAAAACAAAAAAGACTACAAAGTAAGTCTTTAAAAAAAAAAAAACCAACTATACAGGCAAAAAAAAAAATTATACAGGCAGACACTATAATTTTCAGGTGTTACCAAAAAAAATATAGCTTTGAAAATGTTGACTCCAAGATTAAATAAGTCAATATAATTCCTACCACCTTTAGTTTTTGTCGCTTGCAAACATAGACAAGGCAAAACTTTCCAACCATTTTAAGCATGTACAAACGGACATGTTTACTAAATCTCAATAGTCTACAGAAGATAAAAAGGTATAGAAAGGAAACTGTCATGTCACCTGTTCCCATTACACTACAGATCCAGTGTCCAGAGAGGCCGGGTGGGGCCTGGAGCACAGTGGGAGGGCGCGGCGGCTGGCCATCCTGTAGGGAGAGGAGGACCAGCAGAGCCGGGGCTGAGCCTGGACTGAGACCAGGTGCAAGGTCGGTGCCCAGGCAGGCAAAGGATGGAGGAGCAACTCCCAAGAGCTAAGAGCCCAGGGGCAGCTGATGCTGGTCCAGAGCCTGCGGTGCTGGCCAGACTCCATGGGAAGAGCCAGATGCCGGTGCCCAGAAGACAAGGCCTGGTGACAGGAGGAGGCAAAACCTGAGGGATGATGAGCTTGAAGAAGGCTAAGTGCAAGGCCCATGAGAAGTAAGATTATGAACTCAGTGAACAGGCACGTCCTGTGCAGCACGTGAAAGAATTCAGAACAGCGGGAAAAATTAAACCACGGGAGCAAATTTCAAGTCAACAGAAACAAGAACTTTCTAAGAACGAGAGCAGTTCAACAATGAAAAGGGTTGCTTTACTGACTGCTCGACTGCTCATACAAGAACATTCTACAGCAGGGAGCTGGGCTGAACTTTATTATAAGCATTTCTCACTCTCCAAATCTCTTCCATCCCGGAAGGTGGATAGTGAGAGGGTAGACATCACGAATACGGCATCATTCAAATCCACCCGGTGCCCAAGTCTCAAGTAGCAAGTTTTACCTAAATGTATTCAGTTCCTGGGTTCAATTATTCAGTTTGAACAGAATATGTGTACTGACTGAGCAAGGTTCAAGAAGGCAGAATAGAAACATTACACCTCATTAAGGCTGGTTACGGCGGCTCATGCCTACAATCCTGACACGGGGAGGCTGAGGCAGTTCAGATCAGCCCAGACAACACGTCAAGACCCTGTCTCTACACACTCACAAAAGCAACACAAAAAACAAACAAAAATCCCAAATCCCATTTAGGCACCGAAATGTGTTTTGTAAGTCTATGATGAAACAAGATAAATGAGTTTCTGACCATTTGTGGATTTTGGAAAAGCACAACCTAAAAGGAAACTCTACCAGCTCTCTATTTTGAAGTCACTGGTAAACTGAACTGACATTCCTCATTTGTTACCAAATACTGAAACGCCAATAACAAACCCAACATTAACAAACCTAAATGCATCCACTTTGGGAAGACACACGCTGCAGTCTTTTAAATCACACAATGGCTCAAAGGAGGGTTCTTCCAAAACATTTGAGTTTTAAGTTCAAAATAAAAATGACCTTCCAAAACAGCCACAAGATCAGGCAGCCTGTGTCACTTCCTACTTCACTCTAGCTACCACGAACTCACTGAAAATGGAGTGAAAGGTCGCAGAGCAGACACTGAAAGCAAAGTCCCCAGCACCAGCAGGAGAGTCCAATTTTCTACTTGGGAATCCTGGACCAGAAGCGCAAGATGAGTGGCCTTTCTACTCAAAGAGAGTAATGCCCTGACTTCCCTCTGGTGCCCTTTATTCTGTCAGCCTCCGGGGCTTAACATCAATGTCATCTGCATTAGCTTTAAAGATAAAAACTGGCCTGGCGTGATGGCTCATGCTTGTAATCCCAGCACATTGGGAGGCTGAGACGGGTGGATCACGTGAGATCAGCAGTTCGAGACCAGCCTGGCCAACATGCTGAAACCCTGTCTCTACTAAATATACAAAAATAGCCAGGCGTACACACCTGTAATCCAAGCTACTCAGGAGGCTGAGGCAGAAGAATCACTTGAACCCAGGAAGCAGAAGCTGCAGTGAGCCAAGATCGCGCCACTGCACTACAGCCTGGACGACAGAGTGTGACTCTGTCTCAAACAACAACGATGACAACAACAAAACTGATAAAGATGAACAAGGACACATCTCAAAAAGAGCAAGTGCAGACTGGCATGTACAATACAGCCTTTAATTAAAAAGCAAAGCAATGCTATTAATTATGCCATAGGTATGAGGTGAGAAAATCTAAAAACATGTTCAAGGGGGCTGTACATGACTTAGGCCTGATGTATCTCTTTTTAAATAAAAGAATGATCTCAAGCACAGGTTGCCATTTGTGTAACCTGAAGTAGGTATGCCACCACTCATTCTACTGTTCCTTCTATTTTTTGTTATGTTAACAGGTTTTCTTAACAACCACAAAAAAAACTTTAGTGAAAACCTAGGAAAGGACGAGTGTAGTAAGCAAAGTTATAGGACAAAGTGAGGATTTAATGGAACACATTTTTAAGGAATGTCAAAAATTTAAAGTTATTAGTAAAATACGGCAAAAGTGTAATATTGAATACCTGGTGAAAATAAAATTTTTAATGTTAATTTTTATTTTAAGTTCTGGGGTACATGTGCAGGATATGCAGGTTTGTTACATAGGTAAACATGTGCCATGGTGGTTTGCTGCACCTGTCAACCCATCACCTAGGTCTTAAGCCCAGCATGCATTAGCTCTTTTTCCCGATGCTCTCCCTCCCCACACCTCAACCGCCAACAGGCTGCAGTGTGTCTTGTTCCCCTCCCTGTGTCCATATGTTCTCGTTGTTCAGCTCACACTTACAAGTTAGAGCATGCGGTATTTGGTTTTCTGTTTCTGTGTTAGTTTGCTGAGGATAATGGCTTCCAGCTCTTTCCATGTCCCTGCAAAGGCCATGATCTCATTCTTTTTTTTTTTTTTTTTTTTTTTTGAGACAGGGTCTTGCTCTGTCGCTCAGGCTGGAGTGCACCAGAGCAATCTCAGCTCACTGCAGCCTCTGGCTCCCAGGTTCAAGCAATTCTTGTGCCTCAGGCTCCCGCGTAGCTGGGATTACAGGTGCGCGCCACCATGCCAGGCTTTTTGTATGTTTTTAGTAGAGACGGGGTTTTGCCATGTTGGCCAGGCAGGTCTTAAACTCCTGGCCTCAAGTGATCCTCCCACCTTGGCCTCCCAAAGTGATGGGATTACAGGCGTGAGCCACCATGCCTGACCTGATCTCATTCCTTTTTATGGCTGCATAATATTCCATGGTGTATATGTACCACATTTTCTTTATCCAGTCTATCATTGATGGGCATTTGGGTTCAAAAGTCATAATAATAGCAAAAAACATATTATTGATGCTGACAGCAGGGACATGGCTAAATATGGCACCTGCACACTGTGGAGTATCATATCATCTCTGGAGAAAATAAGGAAGTCGACACCAGCTTCTATAACGGGCCCCACTTACCGGTCCTAGCCCCCAGGCTTGGTCAGTCCCCAACCCCCAAGGCCGTCCCTGCCCCCTGCTGAGCCCACTCCTCTGCAGGAGGCCTGGGGTGGGGGGGCTCCCCTCCTGCCCTGACCACAATAGGCCAGAACGTGCACCGGATGGGTCAAGCCGTCCGGCGGTCAGCCAGGCCTGGCCTGGGGCAGTGTGGGCCGCCATGTGGTCTCTCTCACGTTTTCACTCTTTCTTCCCTAGAGGACCTGCCTCTATCCTTTGGCCCTTTTGCTAGAGCCTCAGCTGTCTCAGGCTGTATGACTGCAGAAAATCACGTTTCAAGGGAATAAATCTGTAAGATTTTACGGTGAATGAATATTTCAACCTCTTTGGATTACCGCATGGTCCACGCTGATCCCAGAGGCGTTTACTCACCCACGTAGTGTGGTGGCTGCAGTGACGGAGGCTTGCTGGTCCCAGAATAATGTCCGCTTGCTCTGTTACATCCCAGAGCTGATTCTCAGGGCTTGGGGGCTGGAAAATGCTCGGCAGGCGGCAGCGGCCGCGGCGGGGCTGGGCTGGAGAGAAGGCGGCGGCGTGAGGGTCCGGCGGCGCTGGAGACTCGGGGGGCAGCAGCCAAGGAAGGGTCGTGCTGGGCCCAGCGCGGGCTCCAGGCTGCGCAAGCGAGGTACCCCGGTCCCCGCCTCCGCCCCGCCTCAGCCGACGCCCCCTAGCCACGGAGGGGAAGGCGGCCGCGGGCCCCGGGCCTGTGAGCTCCGAATCCTGCGCCTTCCTGCTGCCGCCGGGCTGGGGGCTTCGAGGGGCGCGGGGAGAGAACGGGGGTATGCAGGGACGCCTGGAGGTCCGCTGCCGCCTCCTCTCGCCTTCAGTCTGCAGGCAGCTCTTCCCCAGCAGAGCGCGGGGCGCCCCCGGCCAGGCTCGCCTCTCCCGGCGCCCGCCGCATTTGAAAAAACACGGCCTTTCCCACGCGCTTCCCGCCGGTTCCGCCCGCGCTGCGCTCCGCTCTTCGCTCCTCTGCTGGCCCTTCGCTCTCGGCGTCCCACACCCGCTCCTTCCTCGTCGACGGCTTCCTCTTCTGCTCCCACACCGGTCTCCCGCCTGCCTTCCAGCACCATCCCTTTCGGATATGGTTCCTCACAGTGAAGTAAGCGTCAGCGCCCCAAATCTACTGGGGGTCCATCAGCACTACAGACTGGCCGGCTTTATGTGCCAGGTCGGCTCTTAAAAAATATGCTTTAAACCTAACGGCCTCAAAAAAAATTGTATTATCAAAAGTAGTGGATAACACTGAAATAATTTTTAAACTAAAAGGCTAGGCCAGGTGCGGTGGCTCACGCCTGTAATTCCAGCACTTTGGGAGGCCGAGGCAGGTGGAACACTTGAGGTCAGGAGTTCGAGACCAGCCTGGCCAACATGGTGAAACCCCTTCTCTACTAAAAATACAAAAATTAGTTGAGCATCGTCCCAGCTACTCGGGAGGCTGAGGCAGGAGAATCGTTTGAACCCAGGAGGCGGAGGTTGCAGTGATCCGAGACTGCACCATTGCACTCCAGCCTGGGAGACTGTCTCGAAAAAAAGAAAAAAAGAAAAGAAAAGAAACAGAAACAGAAAAAAAAAAAAAAGGGCTCAGCGACTGTTGGAAATCATTTATTCATTTTTTTCAAAAGTGCATGGCCTCTCATATCATATTTAGCAGATGTAGGACATTTGCCCATCTTACTTGGCAAAAATGCTTCTTAAGGATTTGATAGTGGCCCAAATTCATCAGTGTTTAAGTTTTTCTGAAACCAATTTGAAAACTTAAAAAAAAAGAAGAAACATTATATGAATAACGAGGAAGCTGTTTCGACAGTCACTGTTAAAGAGCTTTTAAAATACGCTCCACATGTTAATGTATGAAAAGGAAGCTGCCAGGCTGTCTTGTAAGGGATTATTTAGAAATTTGAGTAGTCTTAGTGTTATGTAGCTGTTTTAGGAAAAACATTCTTTTTCCATTAACAAATGTTTACAACCACTGTGATGTGAGAATTACTGAGGTTCGTTGTGGGATTAACACGGAAACTCTATTTGAGCCGCCACATGGATGGAGTAAATGGTTCAGAGTAGATGGGGTAAGTCACAGTATGTAACATGCCATGGACACTGAATGTTAATTCATTTACATTCTCTGTTGTGCAACTGCAAAATTCCTGTTGTTGGCCTACTTTCATCCTTTTATGTTTTGAGGCAGAGTTTCATTCTTGTTTCCCAGGCTGAAGTGCAATGGCATGACCTCAGCTCACTGAAACCTCTGCCTCCCAGGTTCAAGTGATTCTCCTGCTTTAGTATCCCAAGTAGCTGGGATTACAGGCACCTGCCACCATGCCTGGCTAATTTTTGTATTTTTAGTTGAGACGGGGTTTCACCATGTTGGTCAGGCTGGTCTCCCTCTCCTGACCTCAAGTGATCCACACCCCCTTGGCTTCCCAAAGTGCACTGTGCCCGGCCTAGCCTACTTTTAAATATAGCATTTCTAAATAAATAATGAGACAAGTTATTCTAATTATTAGAACAGTCTTTTCCAAGTGTACAGGCCTTCTAAAAATATAATTGGCCAAGGTGGGTGGATCACAAGGTCAGGAGATCGAGACCATCTTGGCCAACATGGTAAAACCCTGTCTCTACTAGAAATACAGAAATTAGCTGGGTGTGGTGGCAGGCTCCTGTAGTCCCAGCTACTCAGGAGGCTGAGGCAGGAGAATCGCTTGAACCCAAGAGGCAGAGGTTGCAGTGAGCCGAGATCACGCCATTGCACTACAGGCTGGGCAACAAGAGCAAAACTCCATCTCAAAAAAATAAAAAAGAAAGAAAGAAATTGGCAGTGAGGTAGAGAAAGAGCTGGATTGGTTACAGGTTGGCATTTGCCGTATTTGAACACAGTTTGAACAATTATCAGTGTATGAGTGGTTGAAGTATGGTCAAGACTCAGCTGTTGTTACAGGCACAGACTCCTAAATTAGGTTTTCAATCTTGTCTTCCTATTAAGCTACCTTACAGTTTGTCCACAAGAACCCAAATATAGAAGTAAGAGTCTTTCTCAGGCCATACTTAGTTTGCTTTTACAGAAGTGACAGCAGAGCTTTCAACACCTGTTTTCTTACACTGGGTGTCTGGAATCTGGGAGGACTCCAGGAGTAGGTGAGAAGGCCTTTTCAGTTTGTCTGGTCATGTCAGTAAATACTGTCTTATGTTAGTAAATCACATAATTACTAAATTCCTTAAGATCACATCGTCTGAAGGAAGGGTGTCGTGTCTAAATAGCTGTGCCTCCAAGAACAGCTGATTCACAGGTTGACAAGGTCAGAAAAAGTGACTCTTGTTGAAAGTTATTTTTTCCTACAATGTACATTTTTTACGGTCTTTGGAATTAAAATGTGATGCTGATTGTCTCTGGGGAGTCTTGGAAGAGTACAGTTTGCCACGGTATCAGTGATTGTGGACATTCATTAAAAAGAGGCTGAGCCAGTAGAAGAAAGATTGCAAATGTGCCCTTGTAAATGGGTTCGTAAACATGTCTTTTATTGCATATGATACTGGGAGTGAATGGTGTTTTTTTCACACCCATGGGTATTAGTTATACATATAATCTATATTTCGTGACTATTTATATATTACATGTAACTCTTTTGAAGTATATTGTGACATTACCTAGCATAGAAAGTAGTTAAATAGTATAATTCTAACTCTAAAATTAAATTTTTAAAATGCAACATATGATATCTTATATTTTCTGTGAAATATGCCTTTTATAATTCACTGACCTTTAAGAAAAAGTGGTTAGCAAACAACTGATGGTATCAGAATAATAAAATTCTTTAAATTCCAAAATTCTAAAAGCAAAATTTATTCAAGTAATAGTATAAAATATAAAATCATGATTAGTGGTAAGATAATGTCTGGGAATATGATATTTATTTCTGGATTTTCAGTCATCCTTCCCATTGTACCTGCTTCTTTTTTTTTTCCTTGGTGAACTAATTTCAGAGTTGGAATAAACTGAATACTTCTATTTATATTAGCAGCTGTAAAGTTTTATTGTAGAATGTATCTTGTACATTACATTAGCAAAATGGATGATTAAGAGGACTGACATTTCACTATCCTGTACTCAAACAGTGAAGGTAAAATAGAGGATATTTGGGGAATATGTAATTGTTGTAGTTTGTAGCTGACTGTCCTAAAGTTAGTAAAATGACAGAGCTTGTCATCAGTGTCTTGCAGCTGATCTAACAAGGATGGGCAAAGAAAAAGGTACCTGAACTTCACCATCTGTGTTGTTTCCTTGTTTGATTGGTGATCCTTACTCACATCAATCCATTGGTTTTCATCTTTTGGACTAATTAATGTATGGCAATATCTTTGATTAGCCATTTTAGAACCTTTCTGCAAGTAACACATTTCTAGTCTAGGTGTGGTGGCTCACACCTGTTCCAACATTTTGGGAGGCCAAAGCAGGCAGATTGCTTGAGACAAGTCTGAGCAACATAGCAAGGCCCTGTGTCTACAAAAAACGAAGTGAGTCCAGTGTGGTGATGTGACCCTGTAGTCAGGCTGAGGCGGGAGGATGGCTTGAGCCAGGTAGGTCAAAGCTACAGGGAGCTGTGATCCCACCACTGCACTCCAGCCTGGGCAACAGAGGGAAACCCTATCTCTATTTTAAAAATATTTTGATGTGATTTAATCTCTTTGTATAGATTTGACTTAAGAAGATTGGACATTCCATGTATACTCCTTTTCTTAAAGACTGATTTGACCAGATAGTTGAATTGGTGTTGTGATAAAAAGAACCCTTTACTAAATTATTGATAATGTTCTGAAGTTTTTCAAAAGTGTAATCTATATACTGTAGATCTTTATTTCTCAGACTATTTAAAGATTAAAGATTTACTTTTTAGTAACAATCTAGCATACTAGTGTGAAAGGAAAACATCTTGGGCCCCCAAAATCACTAAGCTAGAGGAGAAATTCAAGCTGGGAACTGCTCAGGGCAAACCTGCCTCCCATGCTATTCAAAGTCATCCTCTGCTCACTGAGATAGATGCATATTCTGATTGCCTCCTTTAGAAAGGCTTCTCGGAAACTCCCGAGAATACAACCATTTGTCTCTCACCTACCTGTGACCTGGCAGTCCCCTCCCTGTTTCAAGTTGTCCCTGTCTTTCTGGACAGAACCAGTGTATTTCTTACATATATTGATTGACGTCTCATGTCTCCCTAAAATATATAAAACCAAGCTGTGCCCCGACTACCTTGCGTGCATGTTGTCAGGACTTCCTGAGGCTGTGTCACGGGCATGTGTTCTCAACCTTGGCAAAATAAATTTTCTAAATTAACTGAGACCTGTCTCAAATTTTGGGGGCTCACATTTGGTAACCACGGAGGGATTCCGAATGGAGAGGACCCCGACCTTTGGCAAATCTCCTATTGATGCTTGGTACCAGCATGAGCTAACTTTATGACTCATACCAATAGGAAAATTTGTTGAGATCTGAGAGCACCACCTCCAGAAAATTT